TTGCCTGATTATGATGAAGTTTGCCTCTTTTTATTCTATTGGTTCATAAGTTTGGCCTTTGTTCCCGAGATTCTTCAGTTGAAACCTTTCAGGTTCTATTGAATGTTAAGTTCCATTAGCCGTCTGGAAATAGCTCATGATTCAATTTGGTTAAGTCCATTATAAGCGTTTGTGTTGTTTTGGTGCGTGCAATCACTAGTTGCATACAATTTCTTTCTTAGATACTTCTAATTCCTGTGTGTTTTGAGGAGTTAGTTTCTCCTTCTTTTCATGTGTCATCATTGAGTTGATCCATGTGGAGCAGGATGAGAGGGAAGTGTTGCCGCCCAATTCTGAGGTTACTGCTGCTACTCCGGTGACTGTTGCTGCTCATGGGATTGAAGTAGCTGTGGAGTTTAAGCCCGTGGAACATCCTATTGAGCCTATGGACAATGACAGACCAATTCAGTGCCCGCTTCCTGAACCTTCAATTCTAAATGTATGATTTTTCTTTTCGACAATAATGTGCTAATGCTTTTTAGTTTGTTTTTGTTTGATATGATATGATAGTGATGAAGTGTGGAGGTTTTCATGTTTGATTTGAGATAACACACTCCATTTGCTGGTTGGACTTGGTGGATATTCCCAAGAAATATAGACTCTATACATCAATGATGGGCTGAATAGCGAGCTGAGAATATATTTGTTAGATGAGAGCGACCAAAATCCAGATACTAGTTAAATTTCTTATCCTGAAGTAAAAACGACTGCGTTGAAATTAGAAGTTTTTCATAACATCTAATATAGGAATAAAGCATTTTACATCAATAAAATACCATTTACTTTTGTATTTCATCTCCCAGACTCACTTTATGGTGTTCGGTGCACTTACCCTCACAAGTACAGTACATTTTTCTTTTATTTTTCAATCTTACTGATGATCGGATAAAATATGATTGCCATGTTGATGTTATTTATATTTCTTCATTTCTCTACTCTAACAGTTGGGGGGGGGGGGGTTTCCTTTCAAGTGTTGTTTGACATCGGAATTGGAAATGGGACGGAAGAGATGAAACTTATATATCCATGGGTGACGATTATCTAATTGTTCTGTATGGTTGGTCTCTCAAAAGATTTCTCTTATGTTACTTGTGGTTCAGGCATTTTGTGAGAATGGTTAATGGAGGAAGTTCTTTTAGACTTGTGACCACATAGGATAGATGGTAACAGAATCACTTTTCAGTTAGAGATCAGAGTCAATTTACTCTTCTTTGTTGGTGATTATGCTAGAGCAAACAGCTGCTTTATGAGAATAATTTTCTTTTGTTCCCCTTTTGGGTGGATTTGGAGGGGAGAGGGACTGGGAGGTATTTCCAGAGCCAAAAGGAGCTTGTAGGTTTGTGCTTCCTTGTGGGTGATGGAATTTGTTGATGGAGGTGGTAATGTCATAAAATCTGCAAATCTGCTCCTGACGGAAAGATTCAGGAATTAGGACTCCTTTTCCAGAACTTGACACATCTTAGAACTTTTCTGGTACCGTCTCAAACTTGACACATCTTAGAACTTTACTGGTTCTGCGTCAGAATTCATTGTTGTTTAGAATTTAGCGATTAGAATATTGTTCTTCTTTATGTTCTTTTGTCCTTTGAATTGCTCTTAGATATATCTGATCTATTAGAAGTGGTGGGCTTTTTATTTTCTTCTTTTCCAAACAAAGGAGCCCTTGTTATGCAATGTCAACCAATCCTAATAGTAGATGATATTAGAAACTCAAACACAGCTGGCTGTACCAAATAATTCCCAATATTTCTTTATACTCTGTTATCTTTCTTCCTGAATAGGATGGAGTCAGTTCCATCATCAACTAGGCAAGAGTTAAGAGTTATGGTTAGGATGGTTATTTTGGTTTTTTGAGTCTGTTCTGTAAAGAATCCAGCTAGACCCAAGTGTATAGCATTGATCTTCAGTACTAGACAAGTGGTTCAGAGGCTGCAGTAATTCAATACAAGTTATTTCTAGAGGTGTATATTATCATTTCTGAATCTGTATGTTGATATACTGCACAACCTTTAGTAGGAAAGGAGGAAATTGGAAAAAGAAGGATAGATGGTGATTGAGAATCAATAGAGTGTATTCTGTACAATTTGCATTTTATGGGCCAATTTTGTATAGAAACAATACGTGCAGATTGGAAATATAAGGTGCTTTTATTTTTACAAGGACCCCAATTTTTAATTCCCCCCTCTATAATTCTTTTGATTTTCATAATAAGGATGGAAGAATATGGAAGGAGCGGGTATCAGCCAATGCAAGAAGGAGAGTAGATTTGCCAGTCATGAAGGAAGGAGTTACCCTTGAATCTGAAGCTGCGGGCATGAAATCACGACCAAGCCAAACTAATCGTGGAATTCTACCATCACTCAGCGCTCCTGAACATAATTTAGTAAATCTACTGGAAGAATGTAATGCATCTGGAATCTAGATTCTGTTTTTGGTTCTTGTCTGGAATTTAACTTATAATCTCCATACAGTGTCAATTTGTTCTTTTTCAAATCAGTTTCTCTCACATTTCTCTTTCTTTGTGTTCTGTAAGAATCATAGAAAAAAAGTCACCCAGACCCTCTATGTATGTATGGTTAATAAATCAAATGAAACTTTTATTTTATTCCTAGTGTTCCACTTTCTTTGGATTTTTCATTGGTCCAGTGATTATTATACTATGGTCTAAAATCTTGGTCTTGATGAAAATGGATGATTCTGAGGTTAGTTAGACACTGGAAGCTTTTCGCCTTTACATCTTTACACAGATTTATCATGAACAATTTCTTGCGTTGATATAGGATGATGGTTTTTCAGGTCTAGATTTTTTGAGGGGTGAATGCAGGTTGCCAGTATTTTTAATCAATCCTCGAAGTATGATAATCTAGGGTTTAGGTTATTTTACCAACATTTTTGCAGAAAATAAGTAGAGTTAAAAAAGATTTCAGGAGTTCTTTTTTGAATCTTCGTTCAGGCCTGTATAGAAATTTGAGAAATACTTATGATTATTATTTGTGCAATACAGGTTGCCATGTATGGCAAATACTGCTCGTCATGCTGAGCATGCTTATTATATGTTGATATATTATTATTGGCCTTCTTGTTTGCTTTTCTCCATTTACTGTTTTCTTTCGTAGTAGTTTCTTAACCTCCACCTCCCATTTTCTTTTAACACACTTTTGAGCGCACACAACAAGAATTGGGGATTGTAGGTGTTGTAAGTGAGCATGCTTTTGCTCACTAGATGATTCTTTGAGTTCGGGTCAAGCCACCCTTTTTTTTCAATAAAAGTATGGTATGGTTTATATTGTATGGGCACCAAGGGGTAGCAACTAATATACGAAGAGTATTTACATATCACTTTTAAAATCAATAAGGTCCCTAAAATCTTCCGCTATATAAAAAAATGACATGTAATAGAAAAATCAAGAGTCTGAAACCGTTTACCTTTAACCCTATCAAAATCATCTTCCACTCCTTCAAAAGTTCTCTAGTTTCTCTCTTTCCACACTATCCAAAGGGGACTATTTTTCCCTCTGCTAATGCCCCTTCAGGCCCAAGTTTCTTCCCTAACCGATCCAATCATCAACCAACTGTTTCCAAGTAGCCTGTAGTTCATGGTCCATATCTTATATGCAAGTGGATACCAAAGAATGATGTGATTACAAGACTGTCTCCTTGTATAGAAAACAACCAACCATTTACCAAAATCTTTCCTTCCTCGTCAGCTTATCAATAGTAAGGATGCGCCCCCGACTTGCTTTCCGCATAAAAAAAAAACTATTCTAGGTGGAGTATTATACCTTTCAGATTTACTGAAGAGGAAAATTGGTCACCCTGGTGTTGTTCTTAATCAAATATTTATAGAAAAACCTGAGTGAGAAAAACCCTCTTGCATTGAGTCTTTAGATTGGTTGGTCATTACTCCCGTTGGCTGCTGCGGAAAAGGGTGTATTTACAAAAGTCTCATAATCATTAATTTTTCAATGTTTAAAATTCCTCATAACTTTTACATGCCACTTTCTTTCCTCCCTATTATCTCTGAAAGACACAAAAACCGTGAGTTCAGCTCAAGCCATTTCATTATATGGATTGCACTAATACCTTGTTAATATACTATTTGCATTTTTTATTTAAAAAAAATAGATTGCACTACCAGCAACAAGAAGCATCACAGAAATAGTGTTAGAGAAACTATGACACTTACAGTAGTTTCTATAACAGGAAGCAACACATTCATATCTTTTTATGATTTGGACAAAAAGAAAGTAGTACTTGGTATTCGAACATAGATTGATAATCTGAACTTAAATTCTGTTGAGAAATATCAGTTGATACATATATACATACACACATAGAAATGTTATCGGACACGCTGCTATAAACGGATAAAGGAAACTTCTTGGGAAGTTGATATGGAACCGGATGCTCTGTTGTTTTATTGACAAGAAGTTTTCAGATAAAAAGAAAGTTATTGTATCTTGGGAACTTGATATGATATAATGTTATCAGACATAAAGGAAGTAGTAGTTAAAAGTTTGACATAGACTGATCATATGAACACAAATTCTTCAGAGAAATATTAAGTTGATACATACATTCACGTATACACACAAAACGAAATGTTGTCAGACACACTGCCATGAACTCATACAGGAAACTTCTGGGAACTTGAATATGGATGCTCCATCATTCATCC